ACGAACGAGGGCCGCGACGGCGGCCCAAGCGGGGAGGGAGCGGAGACAGTGGGCAGCGAGCGAAGTGGGTGAGACTGATGATGCTCCTTCGACTTAGGGAGCGGTTCAGCTGCTGGGCGGGCTTCAGGGTGGTGCTCACGCGAAAAGGAATCGACGCGATGTACAAAGCATACAAGAAGGGGAGAAAGAAGAGGACGGACATCAGTGATGACGAAACAGAAGCTAGCGCAGACGAGGGCAGGGCAGACCCGGGGACGGCGGCGTCGGAGCAGACGGCATCGGCCGCCGAGGAAACGTTGGGAAGAGGCACGAGGAGAGACGACCACGATACAGTTCATGTCAAGCAAACTGTAGTTTGCGCTAGTGAACTGGAGCTGGTCTAGCCTCGGCGCAGGAGCAGCGCGTAGGCGGGTCCTTTCCGCTGCGCTGCAGCTGCGCAGAGGTTAGATCGACCCCCCAGCCGAGACTGACACAGGATTGCCTCGGCTGTGGCGATTAGTAACTGATTCTCACTCAGAGACGTGAAAAAGCAGCAAGTCCTCGCCGCCCAAAGTAGTACGTAGTCATTCATTCTCACTCATTAATATGGTACGCCCCGTGGGCTCTGGCTGGCCTCTTCAACCTAATCATTGCCTGAGAGCCTCCCCGAGATTATCACAGTACTCAGTCCGCCGTCAGTAGTCCGCAGTAATCGACAGTACAAGCGTGTAATCCGCAGTAGTCGACAGTAATAATGCGCAGTCTGCAGCAGTAGTCGCACTGGTTGGTGCAGCAGCTGCAGCGCTGTACTGGGCGACTCATAATAATCAATAGTCATTAATTATCGTTCATAACGTGCAGTAGCGCACAGAAATAGCGTGAAACCCGCATTAGTCGATAGTAATAATGCGCAGTAGTCCGCAGCAGTAGTTAGTCCGCAGCAGTAGTCGCACTAGTTGGGCAGCAGCTGCAGCGCTGTACTGGGCGCCTCTTAATGATCAATTAGTTATTGAGGCCGTGCCGCTACCGGCGCCTTACAATCTCTCATATTCATCCGGCCGATAATGCGCAGTAGTCCGCAGCAGTCCGCAGCAGTCCGCAGCAGTCTGCAGTCCTAATTATGCGGCCGGCCATCGCCTTGGCCGTCCCTGGGCGGATGTTGGACTCGCCCGGTCGAATGTCGGCGCTCTTGACGACGTGCCGGCCATGCGCGCCATCAAAGTTGCGAAAAACGACGGCGAGGACCTCGCCGCGTCGGCCTCCCTTTCGCGAGGGAGCGCGGAGTAAAACCTCTGCGCCCACGGCGGCGGCCTGGATGTCGATGGCCGCGCCGCCGACAATGGGGCGGGGCGGCGCCGTGGGAGGCGGCGCGGCCGCGCCGCCGACAATGGGGCGGGGCGGCGCCGTGGGAGGTGGCGCGGCGGGAAGCGGCGGCACGGCGGCGCCCGGCGCGGGCTTCTTGCTGACGGCACGCGGAGTTTCAGCGACGTCAGCCTGGCGCCGCTTCAGGATCTTTGTGGCAGTGGCGATGAGCCGCTTCCGGTCCACCTCCTCCTCGTATGCCTCCCAGCAGTCACTACTGCCGATACACGCTATTACTGAGGATCACTACAGACTACTGACTGCGGACTAATGCTGCGGACTACTGCGCAGTACCGCGGAACGGATGCTGCGGATTACTGCGGACTGTTGCGGACTGTTGCGGATTATTGCTACTGCGTGCTGCTGCATACACATAATTAGGACTGCAGACTACTGCGGACTGCTGCGGACTGCTGCGGACTACTGCGCATTATCGGCCGGATGAAGATGAGATGCAAGATTGTAAGGCGCCCGGTAGCTGCACGGCCTCAATAACTAATTGATCCCAGTACAGCGCTGCAGCTGCTGCACCAACTAGTGCGACTACTGCTGCGGACTACTGCTGCGGACTACTGCGCATTATTACTATCAACTAATGCGGATTTCACGCTATTTCTGTGCGCTACTGCACGTTATCAACGATAATTAATGACTATTGATTATTATGAGTCGCCCAGTACAGCGCTGCAGCTGCTGCACCAACCAGTGCGACTACTGCTGCAGACTGCGCATTATTACTGTCGACTACTGCGGATTACACGCTTGTACTGCCGATTACTGCGGACTACTGACGGCGGACTGAGTACTGTGAAAATCTCGGGGAAGCTCTCAGGCAATGATCAGGTTGAAGAGGCCAGCCAGAGCCCACGGGGCGTACCATATTAATGAGTGAGAATGAATGACTACGTACTACTTTGGGCGGCGAGGACTTGCTGCTTTTTCACGTCTCTGAGTGAGAATCAGTTACTAATCGCCACAGCCGAGGCAATCCTGTGTCAGTCTCGGCTGGGGGGGGGTCGATCTAACCTCTGCGCAGCTGCAGCGCACAGCGGAAAGGACCCGCCTACGCGATGAAAAAGAGAGAAACGAGAGTCGAAGAAGATGTCTTCTGTTTATGAGGGGTTATGCGGGTTATGAAGGCATGTAAAAAAATGTCGGGCTATCTCGGGCAACTCGCCTTAAAGACAGAAAAAGAACTCAAATCTGGACGTGCCGCGATGCAGGACTAACGCAAGCTTGTGGACCGGGAAGGTTCAGCCGGAGAGAGTAGAGCTGCGCCTACGGGACAGCACGCTGCGGCGTGAGCGTCGAGACGAGGCCGCCGGCACGCGCTGTCTGTCGCGTCCACGGCGCGCTCGGACTGGAGCCGGGCGGCGACTGGCGAGCGAGCGGGCTGCGGCCGGGAGACAGGAAGGGCGGTCCGGCGCGGGCTCGCGCGGGACAAGGGTGGCGAATGGGCAGCAGTGGACGCGTCTCACGGCTCCGCGATGGCAGCGGCCGTAACTGGGTATGCAGGCGGTGCCAGGCTGAGGGAGGGGTGCAGCCGCTCGTTGCGGCCGAGCGAGGGCGCATCGCTCGGCGGGAGCGGTGCGGGCACGGCTGGCTTAACAAGCTCACAAGACACACAGCCAGCGGGCTGCCACACATCCTGAGTGGGCGTACACATCACTCAGGCCACGTCCCCCCTGTCGCCCCCCCCAGCACAGACTCCAAGGTGCCAAGAGACAAACAACAGCACAACAACACAGACAGGCGACAGGGGCGAACGTGTGAGACTAGAGCAGGCTTGCTCCGCCTCTAGCAATCTCGTCGCCGGCCGCAAGGCACGGACGAGACCGTGTGTGGGGTCTTGTGAGGTGTCTATGGACGCCCTCCTCACAGGCTATTGGCCATCCGCTAGCCCTAACTCGCACTCATGGGTGACGACAGTTCATTGGATGAGTGGTTGCGAGCAGAGGCGCGTGTGCTGAATCTAGATCGCACGCCGTGGCATATGACTTGGGTAGGCGTGCGACCGCAGCGCGCCCGCCGAAGGCTCGACCGGGCGCGCGTGTCAGCCAGAAGTTTGCCAGTAGAGCGATCCTGGTCTTTCCGAAGACGAGCCCCGCGCCACGGGTGCCAGCCGTGCCTCCGCGGGAGCCGCCTCTCGAGCCGCGTCCCGCCGGCACTGTCCCTGAGTGCGTCCCGCCTCAGCGGCACGCACTCGGCGAGGACAGTCCGGCCGACGGGAACGTGTCGCGCGCCGGCGACGAATGCGGCGGGGTGGGTGTGGGTACCAAGCGCCGCTTCGACGAAGCGAGGTAGGCAGGCGCCCCTCACGAGTCCGTTCAGACATGCCACACGCCCCTCGCAAGCGAGGTTAGTAGGCGCCCCTGGCAAGACCCGCAAGAGATGCCACACCCCTCTCGTACCTATACTCCACCAATGAGAAGGTGAAGAGATCTTATCAGCCAGGCGGGCAGGGCAGGCGGGCCGGCGGGGGCGGGGTCAGGGAAGACTATTCCAAGACTCGCGAGAGATGCCACACGCCCCTCGCGCGAGGCAGTTCGCAGAGCACCTCCTACCCACGCGAGGTTAGCAGCCAACGCGGCCAAAGGATATCCAAAGGATATCCACCTCGAGGTCTCGAGAGCCTCGAGAACAACTAGAGGTCCCCATAGGCAGCATGGAGCCTCTCACTGCGGTGCGGCGAGAGCCGGACCTATGGAACACGTTGTGCATGGTCAACCGATCTGGGAGCAACCAAACCCGCTTCCGCGCCGTCCTGGACGACGCACTCGTCTATCATCTACGTCTAGGCGATGCGTGCGGTTCGCTCGCAGCCTCGGGAACCTCGAGTGCGCTGGCGGTGCGAGACTTCGACGCAGGATTCCGAGCGTACGAGAGGTGGAACACGCCCGCCGAGCGCGTGCTGATCTTCAGAAACGCCGTCGCAGGGCACGGTGGGCTCATGGCGGACGGGGCATGCTATCCGCTACCACAGTTGAGCTGGGGCGACAAAACCGCGAGCGCGTGCCGGGCGCCCCGACCAGAACGGGCACGGACCAGGAGCGTCGAGCAGCTCGTGTACTTGCACTTGGCCTTTCACTTTGATGCTCCTGGGCACAGCATCTGCCAGCTCTTTCCCGCGCTCGCGCTCGCGCTCACCCATCGGATGCTTCACCGCCCGCTCGCGGGGCGAGGCACGGCGGCCTTCTTGCCTGCCTTCTTGCACACGGATGTGCGCGTGGGCTGGTTCCGCGAGTGGGTGCAGCTCGTGGGTGGGCGCGGCATGGAGGCGAGGCTGCTCCACGGCGCCGTCTCTGCCAACCAGGTGCTCGTGCCCATGGGCACCGGCAATGTCCGGGGCGCGCCGCTCGCCTCGACGATGCGCACGACGCGCCAGCTGATCTGGCGCAATCTCGACGACCTGACCCGCCGCCCAGCTCCGATCGGCGGCGACGCGGCGATTGGTCCGCAGGTGGTCCTTGTCACACGGCACAACCAGAGTCGAGCGATCGCGAACGTGGATGTGCTCGTGCGGGCGCTGCACGGCTCGCTCGCGGCTGGCGAGTTGGCAAGGGGGCGGCTGCACCGCTTCGAGGACACACACTCCGCCATCGACCAGTGCGCGCTCTTCCGCGCCGCAGACCTGGTCGTCGCGCCCCACGGCGCCGCGCTCGCCAACTTGCTCTGCGCGCGACCGGGGACCGCTGTCGTGGAGCTGCATGCGCCGGTCTGGCGCCCGCCGGGACGGTCGGAGGCGCAGCCGAACATGGTCTTCCTGCACCTCGCGTGGCAGCTGGACCAGCCGTACTATGGCGTCCACGTGCCCGGGGCGACCTACACGGGTACCATGCACGTCCAAACGGCGAGAGTCGTCCACGCCATCCGCACCTTCGCCTCGAGAGGGTGGCTCCGAGCGGCTCGTCGAGAGCGTCGCGTGGGGCGAGACGCCCGCTGACCCCCGAGAGCCCCGCCACGCGATATAGGTAGGTAGGAGAACCTACAGCTACACTGTACAGTGTGAACGTGAGGCCCGTGTCTGGCGAGTGTGAATTCACGGCAGAGTGGTTGGCCGACGTGCGCTTCGCGGACGGCCCCGAGAAGATCGCGGGTCACATGGCGCACGAGGCAGGGCCGGGCTGGCTCGAGCGGCAGCGGCGCGAGGCCGGCGACGACCTCGCGCTCGCTCTTGCGCGTGAGGCCACCAGGGCGGCAGCGGCGGTGCCCACGGCTCTCCTCGCCAAGCCGAGCGGGTCTGGCCCGGGGGAGCAGCCTCTGGCGGCGTGGATAGCTGCCGCAGGAGTCGCCCTCGCCGCCCTTGCTGCGCTCGCGGTCGTCCAAATTGCGAGGGCGTGGCGCCGCGCGAGCTCTGCTCCCACGCAGCCGCTCGCTCCAGCGCGGGTCGAGTCGAGCTACGTCGGCCTGGCCGCACGACACGCTTAGGCTTCCACACACACAGACCTCACAGCACGCAGGTCTGGGGCCCCTAGTGATGTCCACTCCCTAAAAAAAAAATGGTAAAAGGAACAGGTCCTATGTTGTGTGCGTGCTCTTGGTCCGGGGTTGTGCTTTTGGTGAGATAGGCTCCCCAGCCGCCCGGCGCGGGGCTCCACGACTATACGTCCTGCACGGTGGCAGCGCTCGCACCGAGCGCTAGCAGCGGATCTGGGTCAATCACAGCTTCTGCTTTGTGGAAGCGCGAGAAGGCATAGTCCGTGGCATGAGAAGAAGGCATCTCGTACATAGTAGCCTCCCCTTCAATCGCTCCCTCTCCCATCGCCGAGGTCGTGAACTCGCCCGTCTTGGGGTAATCGTCTAGCAGGCCATACCGTGGCGCAGCCGAGGCGAAGGATTGTCCGATGATTCCATGCGGCAGTGATCGCGTGGCGGCGTCACCCCTTGCACTAAAGCTGACATCGACGCGGTGCTTTGGGCCTGAGATCCAAGAGTAGACGTGGTTGCCCCGCACAGTGATGGTCCAGTTGCCGAGGTTGAAGGTGGCGTGGGAGAAGGCCATCTCAATTCTAAGGTCACCACATTGCTTGAACCCAGACCTTCCGAACTGGAAGTGGCGGTGCTTGCATGTCCCGTTGATGACGTTCCACCCCCAGTTCTCGTCGTTCAGCGAGTGGGCAAAGAAGGAGGCGCGGGCGGGAGCGGAGATGTTTGAGGAGCTAGCGACGATATGCGCCTCGGTGAGGAAGCTGCCATGGACGATGAGCTTGCCGCCGTGTAGCCGGAACGATGCGTCTTCAGTCTTGACGTTGACGGTCAGGCGTGGGGCGGAGAAGAAGTTGTAATATGCTCCGTTGCGTCCCCGAAAGTCAGCCTGACCGCCGTGCGCGAAGTAGATATGAGGATCCTGACGAACCAAAGCGTCGGGTATGCTGTCGCCGTCTGCGTCCGGGTCGATGTTGTCGGTCGCGCCATCGCTGTCTGCGTCGCTCGTGTTGGACTCCTCTGCGTCGGGGATGCCGTCGCTGTCTGCATCGCCCGTGCCCTCCTCCGCGTCAGGCGCGCCGTCGCTGTCTGCATCGCCCGTGCCCTCCTCCGCGTCAGGCGCGCCGTCGCTGTCTGCGTCGCTGGTGTCCTCCTCTGCGTCGGGTGTGCTGTCGCCGTCTGCGTCCGGGTCGACGTTGTCGGTCGCGCCGTCGCTGTCTGCGTCGCTCGTGTTGGACTCCTCTGCGTCGGGGATGCCGTCGCTGTCTGCATCGTCAACAGGCGGCGGCGCCGGTGGCGGCGACGGCGGCGGGTAGTGAATGCACGGGCAGTCCTCCGGCCACCGAGCTGTCGCTCCGTAGGTCGGATTCTCGGCAACATTGTTGTAGCGCGTGCCGTCGGGGCACAAGGCGTACTCGCACGCAGCCGACCCGCCCGCACCCCAAAAGTACCCTGACTCGCAGCTGGTCGGCGCGCCCGCTACCAGGTTGATGTAAGAGACCGTCCCTTTCCTGCGCCAGCCGTTCCGGCCTGTTGTCGCCAGGTCTGTCGGAAAGGGGAACGCCTGCCACGGCAGCTCGAGCTCGATGCAGCCTGGGCTCAGCGGGGGTGGCGCCGGCGGCGGTGGCGACGGTGGCGGCGGGGGTGGCGGCGGCGGCGGCGGCGACGGTGGCGGCGGCGACGGCGGGGAGTGAATGCACGGGCAGTCCTCCGGCCACCGAGCTGTCGCTCCGTAGGTCGGATTCTCGGCAACATTGTTGTAGCGCGTGCCATCGGGGCACAAGGCGTACTCGCACGCAGCCGACCCGCCCGCATTCCAAAAGTACCCTGACTCGCAGTTCGTCGGCGCGCCCGCTACCAGGTTGATGTAAGAGACCGTCCCTTTCCTGCGCCAGCCGTTCCGGCCTGTTGTCGCCAGGTCTGTCGGAAAGGGGAACGCCTGCCACGGCAGCTCGAGCTCGATGCAGCCTGGGCTCAGCGGGGGTGGCGCCGGCGGCGGAGACAACACTGGCGGTGGCGACGGTGGCGGCGACGGCGGCGGGTAGTGAATGCACGGGCAGTCCTCCGGCCACCGAGCTGTCGCTCCGTAGGTCGGATTCTCGGCAACATTGTTGTAGCGCGTGCCGTCGGGGCACAAGGCGTACTCGCACGCAGCCGACCCGCCCGCACCCCAAAAGTACCCTGACTCGCAGTTCGTCGGCGCGCCCGCTACCAGGTTGATGTAAGAGACCGTCCCTTTCCTGCGCCAGCCGTTCCGGCCTGTTGTCGCCAGGTCTGTCGGAAAGGGGAACGCCTGCCACGGCAGCTCGAGCTCGATGCAGCCTGGGCTCAGCGGGGGTGGCGCCGGCGGCGGAGACAACACTGGCGGTGGCGACGGTGGCGGCGACGGCGGCGGGTAGTGAATGCACGGGCAGTCCTCCGGCCACCGAGCTGTCGCTCCGTAGGTCGGATTCTCGGCAACATTGTTGTAGCGCGTGCCGTCGGGGCACAAGGCGTACTCGCACGCAGCCGACCCGCCCGCATTCCAAAAGTACCCTGACTCGCAGTTCGTCGGCGCGCCCGCTACCAGGTTGATGTAAGAGACCGTCCCTTTCCTGCGCCAGCCGTTCCGGCCTGTTGTCGCCAGGTCTGTCGGAAAGGGGAACGCCTGCCACGGCAGCTCGAGCTCGATGCAGCCTGGGCTCAGCGGGGGTGGCGCCGGCGGCGGTGGCGACGGTGGCGGCGGGGGTGGCGGCGGCGGCGGCGGCGACGGCGGCGGCGACGGCGGCGGGGAGTGAATGCACGGGCAGTCCTCCGGCCACCGAGCTGTCGCTCCGTAGGTCGGATTCTCCACCTTGCGCCTCACGCCTCCCACCCTCTCAGGCATTTCTCCCCCCCTGCTGCTCGCCGACTCCTCCTCCCCCCGCATGACCGACGACTACCCGTCCTTCGGCGACTCCTACCTCTTCGGCGCCAACGTCTACTACCCGTTCGCGGCCCGGTGAGGGGCGGGAGCGCAGCCATTCCAACGGCTGGGAAAATTTCTGAACGGCCGTGCATGCGTCTGCATGCCGGACAACTAAGAAGGTCCCTCGCTCCCGCTCCTCTCTCGGAAGACGCGTGCCGGCCAGGGGGACTCGCTTGCGATCCCGCTCCAGCCAGAGGCCGCGTGAGGCGTGTGGGGCGGTGCACGCTGGGGCTCGGCCCCAAGTGCGCTACAGCAGCCGCTGCTGCTGCTGCTGCTCCGCCGCTGCCGATTGTGGACACGATTCCCCCGATCACCCCGCCCGCCCGCTCCGCCCCGCCCGCCCGCCTCTCCCCGCTTGCCCGCCCGCCCGCCCGCCCGCCCGCCCGCCCGCCCGCCCGCCCGCCCGACCACCCATTCCCATCACCATCTCACATACCTTCATATAGGCGCTCGAGTGCTCCTCTCGCTGCCTACTCGCTGCCTCGAGGGAGGAGGGGAAGATGTCGAGCTGAGCTTGCCTCGCTTGTACCGAGGCCCCTCCCCGAAAGGCAAGTTTTAGCCACATGAAACCGAGACCCCTCCCCACCACCCCAATCCCCCCACCCCCTTGCTCCCCTCCCCCCCTCGGGAGGGCCGAACTGAGGCGCCCGAGGGGACCCCGCAATTCCCTTCCCCCCTCGGAGGGCCGGACTGAGGCGTCGAGGGCCCCACTCTTTCCTTCGCATAGCGGCCACTCTTCGGATCGCTGGTCGAGCGACCCGGGGGATGCCCCGCGCGCCTGACCCAGGCGCGGAAACGAATCTGCGAGGCGTGGCCGCTCATGCGGCCCGATGGGGAGGAGGGGAAGACGTAGGGCGTGCTTGCGCGCCTTTCCGAGGCCCCTCCAACCCACCCGCGCTAGGTCTCGGGTTTGACGCATGGGGTCACTCCCGCGAAACTCGGGAACTAGCCGGGGCAGTCGGAGAAGTGGCAACTCCGTGCACTGACGGTCGGCCGTCAGAAAACACGCCTCCGTGGCTCGGGTTACACCAATCCTCGCTACCCAACGCGGCCAAAGGATATCCACTCGAGAACCTCGACAACCTCGAGATAGCCGTAAGAGCCGGAACCAGCGCGTCGGCTTGCCCGCTTATCGACACAGACTTATTGACACGACTCAAGCGCGTGCAAACCTTTCTTGAGGAGCACTCGCGTCGCCTCCTTTGCTCTGCTCACCCGCGTGCTCTGCTCGCGTATTGATGTCATCGCGGCACTCTGGCCGAAGCGCGGCCGGTGGGCCGTCACGCCGTCGCCTAGACTCGTCGTCCTCCGGGCTGCCCTTTGACGAGCTGCGCAGCGAGTGGCCGCAGGAGCCGCGGCAGCAGCGGCTCGCGGCGTGCGAGACGCTGCTGCTCTGCATGCCTCTCGAGGTGACGTCGCTCGGAGCGCGCGAGCAGAGCACGCTGCGTGCCGTGGTGCAGCAGCTGCTCGAGCCGGAGGCGCCAACCATCGAGGAGCTCGCCTCCTCTCTCCGCATCGACGGCGCCGGCGTCGGCGACGAGGTGCGGCCGTTCCTCCATTACCGGCTGCTGCTGCTGCTCCAAAAGCAGCCGCACGCGTTTGCACACCCGCGCGCCTTTGTCGAGTGGGCGACGCGGCAGCTGAATGTCCTCGCAAACGGCCTCGCCGGCGCTCTCCGCACCTCGCGCCACCAGCCTCACCAACCTCGCGCGGCGGGCGGCGGCAGGTGCGGCGATACTTCCGAGACACCTCCGAGACACCTCCGAGACACCTCCGAGACACCTCCGAGACACCTCCGAGACACCTCCGAGACACTCCCGAGACACTCCCGAGACACTTCCGTGACGCCTCCCCCCACCCTGCCCCTGCCACCCTCCCGCCGGTGCACGCGTCTCCTACCCACAGCCACCCCCGCCCGCACAAGCCACCCCCCGACTGTCGACGCCTCTGCGCCTCCGCTCTCCTCGCAGCGCCGCGTCGTCGCCGCCGCTGCTCCCCGGCCCGGCTGATGAGGGAGGGGGGGGAGGGGCGGCGGCGTCAGAGGCGAGCCTGCTTGCGGAGCTGCGCGCGTGCGTGGACCGCATCACGGCGTCGCTGGGCAGCTACACGTCCGTCGCCCTCGAGGCGCAGGAGTCGCAGCTACGCGCTCGCGCCGCCGCTTGCGCGACCGTGCCGGTGGCCATCAGCGCAGCGATGGCGGAGATGGCGGAGGCGGACGCCTCGCCCGCCTCTTCGGCCTCGCTCTCCACTCCGGCCTCCTCCACTCCGGACGCGGGCGGCGGCGGCGGCGGCGGCGCGGCGGGGAGCGGCGGCGGCGCCGCATTAGCCGCGCTGCTCAAGGCTCGCGCTGAGGAGAAGGCGCGGGAGGCGTGCGCGGCGCTGCCAGAGACGGTGGCGCTGCGAGGCTGGGCGCAAGAGTACGACGAGGCGGTGCGTCGGCTGCAGAAGCAGACCTGGCGGCTGTACTGCAGCCTCGACGACGCCGCGGCCCGCGCAGTGCTGTCCCACCAGCTCTCCCTCCCGTACCCGCTCAACCTAAAGCACTACGGCGTGCGGCTGCTCTTCACGGCCTCCAGCTGTGAGCGGCGGCTCTTCACACGCCGTCCAGCTGTGAACAGGCGTGCTGCTGCTCTCCACCTTCCATCCCCGCACCGGCGCCCCGCTGACAAACACGGAGGACATCATTGCCCTGCTGCAGCGGCCGCGCGACGCCCTCTTCAGTCGCGACGCAGCCACTGTCCACCTCGCATGCCTCGCCGAGGCGACGTGTGTGACGCACCGCCGCCACCCGCACCTGCCGGACCTTGCCGAGGCGGTCGAGAAGCGGGTGGCGCCGCACTCTCCCCGCATCTCCCGCACACCTGCTCACATCTCCCCCGAAGGCGGTCAAGAACCGGATCAAGGACGCCACCGCCGCGCTCATCCCGCGGCTTGTTGGAGACGCCACGCCGCCCTCCGCCCGCCCCACTCCGCATGCCACGCCGAGGACACCGCCGCCGCCGCCGCCGCCGTCCGCGCTACTGAAGGAGCGATGTCATTGATGAGCGATGCACTGAGTAGGTCGCCGGCGCCGCCGCCGCCGTCCGCGCCCGCCGCCTCGCCCGGTGTTGCGGCGCTCTCTCTGCCGCCGTCGCTCTGTGGTGCCTCTGCCGCGGCGCTGAGCGGCGGGGGAAGCGAGGGGGGCGAGGGGGGCTCTGCCGTGTCGGTGTCGCTAGCGGCGCTCTCGGGCTCAGCGGCGCCAGAGTCGCCTCGGGGTGGGGGCGGCAGGCATGCGGAGGTCGGACGCCGTGCGTCGTCGGACCCCGCTGCCCGTTTGTCTTCCTTTTGCTCGCACAAACGGGTTTTCTTTTTTTAGGTCGGACGCGGCGCGTCGTCGGACGCCTCCGAGGCCGCCTCGCCCGCCGCCACGCGCGCCGCCACGCGCGCCGCCGCCGCCTCCGGAAGCGGCTCCGCCGCTGCCGCCGCACCAGACACACCGCCCCCCTGCGGCGCGGCGTCGGGCGCCGGCGGCGAGCTGTCCAGGTTTGCGGCTAGCCTCGGCCTCCCCTCTGCCTCCTCTCTGCCTCCCCTCTGCCTCCCCTCTGCCTCCCCTCTGCCTCCCCTCTGCCTCCCCTCTGCCTCCCCTCTGCCTCTCCTCTGCCTCCTCTCTGCCTCCTCTCTGCCTCTCCTCTGCCTCCCCTCTGCCTCCCCTCTGCCTCCCCTCTGCCTCCCCTCTGCCTCCCCTCTGCCTCCTCTCTGCCTCCTCTCTGCCTCCTCTCTGCCTCCCCTCTGCCAGCCTTGGCCCCGCGGTCGCGGCCTAACCTCGGCTCATCTCGGCGGCAATGTGAAGTGCCACGCAGGCACCCGCCCGACATCAGCCGAGATCAGCCGAGATCAGCCGAAGCTGTTCGAGACTAGGCCGGGGGTGCGAGGGCAGAGTCCGGAGATCCGAGGGTGCGTGGCGGTCCTGGAGGCGATGCGGGCGACGTTTGGGCACTGCTCTCGCCCCTGCACCGCCCCTCCCCCGCCCCCTCCTGGAAGGGTCGACGACCCTTCCCCGTAGGCACATGCTGTCCTCTCTGCACCGCTCGTTCCCCGCTCGTTCATCGCGCGGCAGGGAGAGGCCGCGCGCGCACTCCTACCGCACCACCCTCGGGAGGGAACCCACACTGGGTTCGACCACTCTGGGGGTGTGGTGGTGCTAGGCCGCGCAAGATCCTCGAGAACGTGCTCGACGCGTACGTCTTCCTCTTCACGATGTCCACCGCAGTGCGCACGCGCCGCGAGCAGCTCCGCGCACACGCGGCCCCGCCAGCCGGCAGCGCGTCGCCGCCCTCCGCGCCGCCGCCGGCCGCCGCCGCCACGGAGGCCGCAGAGGAGGGCGACGCCGCCGCGTCTGCCGAGTTGGCAGAGGGCGGCGGCGGCGGCGACGGCGGCGACGGCGACGGAGACGGCGGCGATGGCGGCGACGGCGCCAACGCCGAGGGCGGATGCGGCGGCGGCGGCGGCGGCAGTGGCGGCGGCGGCGGCGGCGGCGGCAGTGGTGGCGGCGGCAGTGGCGGCGGCAGCGGCGGCGGCGGCAGTGGCGGCGGTAGCGGCGGCGGCGGCGACGGGGTGGTCGCCGGCAGCAGTGGCGGCGGCGGTGGCGGCGGCGGCGTCGAGTACATCCGCGTGCCGTCGGGAGATGGCACGTCGACCGACGACAGCTCGTCGCTCTCTGCTTCGCTCCTCGGCACCGTCGCGGTGTCCGCCGACGCCGGCTTCGCGTCGGCCGGCCTCTCCTCCGCCCTCGGCTCGCCCACCGTCGGCTCCTCCCCTGCCCTCGGCACGCCGCGAGGCTCTCCACGCGCGCAGAAGCCGCTCCCGCCGAGCTTGGCCAAGGCGGCGGCGAGCGCGGCCGCGTCGTCGCCGCTCGGCGCCCAGTCCCACACCCCCAGAGTACCAAACCCAGTGTGGGTTCAGTCCGGTGGGTGGTGCGGTACTAGGGACTTCTCCGCTCGGCGCCGCCGCCCCCGCCGCCGCTTGCGGCCCGATGGTCCGACTGAGGCTGCCGGCCTCCTCTCCCGCGGCCGACGAGGCGCCGAACGTGCCCGCGACGGCGCGGCGCGCTGGCAGCGCGGCGAGGGCAGGAGGCGGCGGCGCGGGCAGCGGCGCGGTGCAAGGTCCGCCCGCTGGCCGCGGCGGCCTCCCCGAAGGCATCTCTCGCCTGCTGCAGGCCATCGGCGTGTCGCGGCGCGGCAGAATGTCGGGCGGCGGCGACAAGGGCGATCAAGCGGAGCTCGGCTCGCTGGCCCTGCGCGCAGGCAACCTGCACGGCCGCGCGGGAGGTGTCTGTGAAGTGTCTGGGAGGTGTCTAGGAAGTGTCTAGGCAACCTGTACGGCCGCGCGGCGGGGGTGGGAGGCAGGGGCGGCGCGTCGCCCGACCCGTCGTGCTCTGCCGGGGTGGCGGGGCAGGGGGGCATCTCCGCGGCGCTCAGTGCGGTCGCCGGCCCTAGAAGCTGAATACGTGTTCTTGTACTCGAACCAGCACTCGAGAGGAGGCGTACTCAGCGTGTGTTTGACCGCAGCCCGCTGTAGTCGCTGTATTCGTGCCCCTCGTATTCGCACGGTGCTCTGAATGCTCTGCACGATACCGCCCTCCCGGCCTGAGGTTGGCGTATTCCGGACGCAGGTCGCCGACCCTGCCGCGACCGAGGAAGAAGCAATCTCCCCATATCTCGAGCATATCTCCCCATATCTCCACGTAGGTCGCCGACCCTGCCGCGACCGAGGAAGAAGCAATCTCCCCATATCTCGAGCATATCTCCCCATATCTCCACGTAGGTCGCCGACCCTGCCGCGACCGAGGAAGAAGCTGCTGCGGCGAGAGCAGGCAGCGCGTCTTCCCGGAGCCGTCCTGGAAGCGCCTCCTGCTGCTTCTGCGTAGGAGCTGCGGAGAGAAGTGCAGCGCCTCTTCCTCGTCTAGACACTTCCTAGACACTTCCTAGACACTTCCTAGGAGCTGCGGAGAGAGGTGCAGCGCCTCTTCCTCGTCTCGCTGCGGCGCGCCTTTGTCGAGCTCTGCTCGCAGCTCTCCAACATCAAGCCCAGCGGCGCCCTCCTCTCCGCCACGACGTCGCTCGACGAGGCGAGCTCGGCGCGGCCGTCCTCCCCGGCCCGCTCCTTCGACCAGGCTGCGCCCGGTCGCCCCGAAGCGCGCCTCGCCGCCACCCCTCTCGTCGCGGCGCGCGCGGAGAGCCTCCCACTGCCAGACCTGGCCCTCGACCCCCCCCCTCCGCCGCCGGCGGCGGGGCGGGACGGCGGCGGCGAGGGCGGCGGCGGAGGCGCGGCGGCGTCCGCGGGCGCGGTCAACGTGGCGCAGCCGAGGAGCATCTGGGGTCCTCTCTGGCACTGTTCGACTTCTGCTCTCGTGTAGGCGTGATCAACGTGTAATCAATTAATTAATGAAGGGATTGGTTGATTGATTAATTAGTTGCCTCTGCTCTCGTGTAGGCGTGATCAACGTGTAATGAATGAATTAATTCATTAATGAAGGGATTGATTGATTACTTAATTAGTTGCCTCTGCTCTCGTGAAGGCGTGATCAACGTGGCGCAGATGATGAACATCGCTAACGGGATGCACACGCTGCTGCAGCTTGAGGAGGTAGCGGCTCCTCCGAATTCGTCAATGGCGCACCTTCGATGCGGACCATGAGGATCCTCAGCTCCGCACCTTAGGAGCGCTTCATCCCGGTGTTTGCTAACTACAAGCCCGATATCGGCGAGGCGGCCGTCAGCGAGTGGGGCCGCCTCTACCTCGACCAGCTCTCCGTCACTAACCCTATCCCCAACCCTAACCCTAACCCTAACCCTAACCCTAGGCCGCCTCTACCTCGAGCAGCTCTCCGTCACGCTGCGCATTAGTTAGTTAATTAATTAATTAATCAATTATTAATTAGGCCGCCTCTACCTCGAGCAGCTCTCCGTCACGCTGCGCGCGCACGTCCGCGCCGCCGCGACGCCCGACGAGCAGGCGGGCGCGCTCGAGGTGTTCACGGACTTGTGGAAGTCGATGAGCCTCCTCCACCGCTTCGGCGAGGGCAAGATGTGGCCGGCGCTGCCGCTGCGCGCCGCGCTGGAGCACGTCGTCCCGCTGCTTCACGTCTGGCTCGACCGCGACCGCGAGCTCGTGCTGCGCGCTGCGCTCCTCGCCGCGGCGTCGGAGGTCTCCTCCTCCGGCTGGGCGCGAGGCGGCGGCGGAGGAGGCCGGCCGGCGACGTGGTACTCGCGCACGGCCGACGACGTGCTGCGCGCGCTGCGCGGCTCCGCAAAGGGCGGCTGGAACCATATCTTCTTCTTGCTGCCGCCGCTGCTCGCGCAGCGCGCGCTGCCCCGCCTCATCGCGCAGCTCTCGTCGGCGCTGCTCTCCTACTGCCGCCTCCTCACCGCCGGCCTCCCCACCGGCGTACCCGCTGCGTCGCCCGCCTCCCGCGCCGTCGCTGGCCGCGGGGGGGAGGGCGACGGGGGGGGCGACGAGGGCCCTGCGGCGGCCGTGGCGGCCGAGGTGGTGGCGGAGGCGGACGAGCGGACGGCGCGGCTCGAGGCTACACCGATTGGGCGAGGTGAGCCGAGAGGACACCGCGAGCTTAGGCGGACGAGCAGACGCGGCGGCTCGAGCGTCAGCGAGCGGCGCTCCACGTGCTGCGCACTTTTTCCCCGCGGGAGGCGGCGCGCGACCGCGTGGGGTGGGGCGCGTCGCTGCAGGCCGTCGTCGAGAAGATCGGGCTCGACTCGGCCGCGCAGCGCCGCTTCGCCGCGCTGCTCGAGGAGCTGCACGCCCACGACGTCGACTCGCTCTGCGTGCGCGCCGCGTCGGCGGCTTTCGTACGAGACTCTCTCGGCGGCAGGCACGGGCTGGTCGCCCGGCTGCGCGACGCCGCCGAGCACGCGAGGTGTGCGCTGCCGATGGAGCACTTCGCCGCCGCGCGCAGCTGCCTGGACGAGGCCTTCGAACACGTCTGCGACTACATCTCCGTCAAGGTCGTGTTTGGCGACCTGCGCGCGTCGCTGCTCCTCGGCCTTTACGCGCCCTCGCCGCATGCCGCGGGCATTTCCGCGCCGCTCCGCACCCTCGACGGCACTCTGGGTGCGCTGCACACCACGCCGCCCCCCCCCCCCTGGACTAGCGGCGGCGGCGGTGGTGGTGGTGGCGGCGGCGGCGGCGGCGGCGGCGGCGGCGGTGGTGGTGGTGGTGGTGGTGGTGGCGTGGGCGAGATCGGCCGAGATCACCCGAGATCACCCGAGATCAGCCGAGGGGCGGAGGCGCGCTCCACCGGATGCTGTAATTAATTAGTAGTTAATCAGTAATTCATTACTAATTCATCAGGCGCGCTCCACCGAATGCTGTAATTAATTAGTAGTTAGTAAGTAAGTCATCAGTGATTCATCAGGCGCGCTCCACCGGATGCTGTAATTAATTAGTAGTTAATCAGTAATTCATTACTAATTCATCAGGCGCGCTCCACCGAATGCTGTAATTAATTAGTAGTTAGTAAGTAAGTCATCAGTGATTCATCAGGCGCGCTCCACCGGATGCTGTAATTAATTAGTAGTTAATCAGTAATTCATTACTAATTCATCAGGCGCGCTCCACCGAATGCTGTAATTAATTAGTAGTTAGTAAGTAAGTCATCAGTGATTCATCAGGCGCGCTCCACCGGATGCTGTAATTAATTAGTAGTTAATCAGTAATTCATTACTAATTCATCAGGCGCGCTCCACCGAATGCTGTAATTAATTAGTAGTTAGTAAGTAAGTCATCAGTGATTCATCAGGCGCGCTCCACCGGATGCTGTAATTAATTAGTAGTTAATCAGTAATTCATTACTAATTCATCAGGCGCGCTCCACCGAATGCTGTAATTAATTAGTAGTTAGTAAGTAAGTCATCAGTGATTCATCAGGCGCGCTCCACCGGATGCTGTAATTAATTAGTAGTTAATCAGTAATTCATTACTAATTCATCAGGCGCGCTCCACCGAATGCTGTAATTAATTAGTAGTTAGTAAGTAAGTCATCAGTGATTCATCAGGCGCGCTCCACCGGATGCTGTAATTAATCAGTAGTTAATCAGTAATTCATCAGTGATTCATCAGGCGCGCTCCACCGGATGCTTCCCACCGAGTGGACTCGCCGCCGCGTGCTCTTCCATGTCTTCCGCGCCACGTGCGCCGCCTTCGAGGCGCCTGCTGCTCGACGCGCCCGCCGAGTCCTGGACCCTTCCTAGACCTTTCCTGCAAGCCCCCCTGTAGGCGGTGCTGCTCGATCCGTCTTCGGTGCGCGACTACGCCCTCGACGACGTCACCGTCTTCAGCCACGATTTGCGGCTCATGCAGGACTTCTTCGTCGCCGAGAACGAGGTCGGCGAGCCGCAGGGCGTGACGCACGTCGAGGCGGAGGAGTGCCTCGCCTCGCTCGCTTTCGCAGACCCCTCCTAGACCCTTCCTGGAACGTTCCTGCAGGCGGAGGAGTGCCTCGCCTCGCTCAAGCTGCTGCTCGGCATCCTCGACACGCGCTCCGAGGTGCTCGTCGAGCTGATCGCCCGCCCCGCCTCCATCTCCACCACGCTGGTCGGCCACCAGAACTTTCGGCAGCACGAGCTCTACGTGCTGCTCGCGGGCAAGGTGCTGTCCAAGCGGACCGACAGCGCCGCTCGTTCGTGGAAGGCGGCGCCGGTGCGGGGGGCCGTCAGCTAGCTAAGGCCAGAGCAGCGCTGCTGGAGAGCCGTAGATAGACAAATATTCTGGACATAAAACTCGATGATAAAAAATCACGTGTGTGCACCCCGGCTTCCTAAGCCCTAAGGCTAGCCTCTAAGGGGAGGCGAGCGGGAGCGGCCAGCCAATGTGAACGCGCTTGTGCAGGGGTGCTCAAGCGCGGCCCGGCTCTTTACGAGCTAACGAGCAGGGTCGGGAGGGAGAGAGATTTTTGCGCGCCCTCTAGCGCTGCCTCAGGCAAAGGTGGCGAGGAAAGTGCGCACCTCCATCGGCCGGAGGGTCACCTTCGGGTACGCGAAGGGCTGCCGCGACTCAAAGGCGCCGCGCGCGATCTCCTCCGCCTCGCGCGCCGCCGCCTCGGTCCGCGAGTGCGTGCGCCAGACGTGGTTGCGGCCTGCTCAAGACGCGTCCGAGGTCAGCCGAGATTCGAGCGTGTGGGAGCGCGCGCGTGCTCCACAGAGCGCAGTCGCGGAGGCCTGCTAGCGGCCTGCTCGCGCCGAGGGTCGTCTCTCGGGCGGCGCTGATCTTGAGGCCCTCCTTGCTGAAGACCTGCTCGCGGGCCGGGCCGCCGCGGTGTGAGGAGACGCTAGAGGCCGTCGTCGCATTCGCCTTCCTCGGACCGACTGCAGCCGTCCGACTGCCGTCGCTGCCTCTCCCTCCTCTGTCTGTGCTTTTGGGCCCGGGGTTGTGTGTTTGCGTGAGGGGGGGGGGCGACGCTCGTCATACGCCGGGCGGCCACCCCTCTAGCGCCAGAGTGCCTGGCTCAAGTCGACGGTCGCCTGCGGGAAGGCTCCAGGAAAGCTCAAGGAAAGGTCCGGGTAGGGGCGTCGAAAGGCGGGTGGGGGGGGGGGGGCACAACTTTCCCCCGGTGAAATTGTACCAAAAAGGGAAATTTCCGGGGCGCCCTCCTGAAAACCCCCATTCCTCCTGTTGAGGGGGATGATAATCTCCCCCCCCCCCCCCCAAA